CAAGGGCAAGAAGATGCAGAGGTGGGGTCGTCAGTGACCCTGTGGGCCTGCAGCCCCCGTCATGTGATCAAGGGCTCTGACCCCCACCAAGGCTGGCCAATGAAAGGATCAAAACCTAGGATGTGTCCCCCCCACCCCTGCTATTAGATGCTCAAGTCACTGCCATATTCTAAAGCGATGTTACAAGTGACCTGCAGTACAGGCTGGCCATTAACTCTGTCATGTGGATCACGAAGGCTGTATATTACTAGCAAAGCTACCTTTCCTAGGACTGTGCTTACAAGGCACTTGGCCAGAAGCGGGGTCATGCTCACAGCGCTGGACAGCAAGCTGCCAATGGGCTCTTGTGCAGGACACAGAAGTGCCCCACGCCCGTTGGCTAAAGTTGTCAGCAGAAGCCCCCGACTCTCAGAGTACCTGCTTCCTGATGAGGAGTGGGCACCACCCACCTGACCATCTTAAAGCTGGGCACTGTCCTCTGTTCAACAGAAAGATGTGTAGACAAGTACTGCTGAGTCTGAAGCTAAAAAGGCAAGTAAAAGTAAATTTTATAACTGCTCCAGGAACAACATCTTTCTTATACTCACACTCAAAGCCAGTGCCAGCCACCCCTCCTGATCACAGTGACATAGAAGACATGGTAAGGGTGGTCCCTGGTGGCTGTGTCTCAGCACTGTTCATAAATGACAGATGCCCAGTTGCCTCTGTACAAATGACACGCCCAACAAAGCATCTCCAATCCATTCGTGTGTTTACACCTCAGACTCTGTCATCCAGATTGCCAGACAGACTAACCACAGCAACCTACTGTGACACTGAGGTCAGGGGATTTTCAGTGGAAATTCTGTTCAAATGGTTCCCATGACAACCCACCATCCTTGAGCAAAAAGTCAGACAGAGGGGAAGGAGCAGATGAGCAGAAGCACCCTGAAATCAGTTTCTGGAAGAAACCGACCACAGACAGATGGGGCATGGTTGCCGTCATGTGCAATGCCATACCCTACTCAGTGACAGACACTGTTCTCCTGGATTCCAAGGACAAGCACAAGGCCACCCCCGACTGTCCCCATCGAGGCTCAGTGGAGGGTCTCCCATGACAAAGGGCAATGAACTGTGAAGGGGGCTTTTGAACTTTCCCACTTATATCCCAAATGCTATCCTTACAATTGAGGCAAAGGGGCAAAGTTGAATCCTGACCTTCTAATCTAGGGCTCAGAGCCTCCCAGGTGTCATGGGCTGGCATGTGGCCCTGGCCCACCAGCTTTTAAAGATGGGACTGAGCTGGGTACTTCCCACGGTATGCAGTGGGGTGAGAGGAGCATGGAGCCCTTGCTCACTTGGGGACCTGGGCAGGCACTGCTGTGACCAACGCCTCATCCCTCTCTGGACAGTGGTGAGGACTCAGGACCATAACGTGTGTGATTGTGGAGCTTGGTCCTTTCCTTCCTGGGAATTCAACCAAAGCACAGAGTAAAGAAAAGTGCTCACACAGGAGCACTCAGATAAATCACACTGCTGTTTTCTACCATGTTTCACAAGCAACGTGAACACAGGGCTCCCCTGAGTGGGAGGATGTTATCTACATGGAGCGGTGCTGGATTTTAAGGGCTCCTTGGTGCTGTTCCTGCTCCTCGAGGGTCCCCTGTCTGGGAATGGGGGGCTCTGAGTGGATTCTGCAGCAATAAGGAAACTGTCTCTGCAACACACCTGAATCTGTAGTTAAGAGCTATGATAACCTTTAAATCTGTATGATAGAGTTTTCTCTGTTATCAATCTCCAGTTTGGCTGTGTATCAAAATCACTAGAGAGGCTCGGTTCCCCCACCCAGATTCTAATGGACGTTGGCTGAGCTGCCTCCTGGGTACAAGATGCAGCACTTAGGTTCCCAGGAAATTCCAGGGGGCAGCCCAAGAGAGCAACTCATGCACTTGGCAAAGATCTCACTGACGTTCAAGGACGTGGTAACCCGATGCAAAACATTCAATGCATCAGAAGGGAAAGTCACTGGGCAAACTGTGACAGACACAAAATAACTGGATTATGGAAAGCATTAGTGTAATTTCAACCAGCTTTTGGCTTTTATATGAGCTCATCAATAACACAAGCTGCACAGAAATCCCAGTGTGAAAGGAAGCTGGATAAGACTGCAGGACACAAGGAGGTCAGAAGAGGGGGGACCTGTCCATCCTTGTCATTCAAGGACCACAGAAGACTGAATTCTGAAAAGGACTCGAGTCTACCACATGGAGGTGCCCATGTCTGCAGAGGAGCCCCCAGGACCTTCACCGTTTTGCAGGAGGCTCAAAGAACAGCAGGGTCTCAGGGTCACCCTGCAAAGCAGAATAGTGGCCATATTGTTACCAATGAGGAACAGCACTCACAGAAAACCCCAAGCACAGAACATGTGTCCTAGACAATGAGCAAGTACTTAAGAGATCAGAAAAATGTTTGACCTCAAAATCCCAAGCTTGTGGGAAAGGGCAAGAGGAGCTGCAGGAGGCCCCTGCAATCCCCTGAGGGAAACTGGGAGGAAGGATTTGGACACTAGAAAAGAAAGAGCTCTTCGCTGTCAACTAGGCCAGGCCTCTCTACAAAAGACAGTGGGCCCAACTTGTGGAACCACACGGAAAAGAACAGCAGCGAAACCCGAAGCTAAATCCACATGGGACACAGCTCTCAGTTGTCAGAAAACATCTGGTTGCCTCATCATCATGGCAAGCTCCGGCCAAGGCATCACAATATGAAGCAGTAAAAAGACTGGAAGCAAAGAGAAGCCACTGTGGACCTGGGAATGGAAAGAAGGCCTCCAGGTCCAGAGAAGCCAATAGCCAAGACCAACAGCACTCTGACGCCCTTGCCATGCCCTCAGGAAAGGGAGAGGAAAGGTTCAGGCCAGGTCAGCACCCCACACAGAGGAAAAGGTGCGCCCTCTAATGCTGTTAGGTGCACAGAGACCCAGTGAGGAAAATCCAGCAGGCGAAGGAAAATGGCACATCTCCAAGGGACACAGAGATTTCAAGTCTTGCCCTGTGCAAAGGGCCTCCCAGCCTTCCACTTCCTGAGGATGCTACCTGGACAGGTGGGGCAGCAGGCTCCCGGGTGCTCCATTGGGTTTCTACAGTGAATGACACAGCGCACCTGGGACTCTGTGACAACGCCTCCCTGCAAAAGAGACATACAGTCAGCTGGGCCAGAACGCCTGCCAAGGAGCTGAACTTCAGGAAAGTAACCAAGCACAAGAACCCAAACCCATAAAATATGCGGTGGGGTAGGCATCAGGCCCAGGAGGACTCTGCACAAATGAGGTATGATCCCCTTATTCACCTCTACTGATGCTTTTGACCTCTGAGGACAAACCCCAACACCCCCCTTATTCCTGGCCTTGCACTCTCTCCTCGGCCCTGCTTTCTTCCTTTTAAATCTCTTTTTTAAGACTTTCTTACTATCTGTTGGTAGCTGGCAGAGTCTAGCTGCTCATTCACAGTTGTCTTATGTTTTCAGTGCTGGCTGAGTTTTCTATCACTGTTCTATACTTCAAAGCATTAGCTCTGGAGCACAGAGACCTGAGTAGAATCCAGAGGTCCCTGAGTCAGATAAGTTCTGACCATCCTTCTAGAAACAACTAGACCAGCTCTGCAGTCTCAGAAACATCACAAGGTCTCAGTCAGAGCCTGAGTCTCCATTTCTCCAGCATCGAAGGAAGAGATTCAACAAAGCCATTTCTGAGTTTATATTGAATATGTCAAACACAGACTTCAGGTTTTAATCATGAAATTGAATGAGTCATTTACAAACTACAGAGAGGTTACTGATCTTGGAACTCCACTATCATTCCAATGTCAAATCAATTCTAAAATTATTTTTCAGTGTTGGTCTTTGAAGGGTTGGCTCTATATTCTCTACCCACTTTGTAAATGAATGCGTATTTCTGTTTGTGTGATGTGTTTCATTTTGTTTGGAAGGCAGGCCCAACAAGCTGAAAACAGAGGTGAAAATTTGACAATGACACTATTCCTTCATTATGCCTGCTACTGTGCCATTCCAACCTACCACAGAGCTATGTCTTAAGTATCTACACACCGGACCTGAGGTCTCCACCACCAGGGGAATTTATCATGGCCTAGACTACATTTGGGGGAAAAATCTAAAATATCGGGAGCAGACAGCATCAATAAAGGACCCCTCTTAGCTACCTAACTGCAGAATGCTAAGACCTGGGGTCAGTTTGCCTTCAGTATTTCCAATCCAGATGGATGCTCATCTGGTTCCCAGCACGAACTTCTTGTCTGTGATCTTCAGATTATCCTCATCCATCAGGAAATTAAAAGTGGGAAAATACAGATAAAGTTTTCACCACCAGAACTCCTTTTGTTGGAGGATATAAAAACATGGAATTGTAATACAACAACCATTGTTAATTTCCTAACTTTGTAACTCTGCATTGTTTGTATTGTTCTTATGCTGTTTTGTAAATGGATGTCCATTTGTTAATATGTTTCCCTTCTTTTATTTTTAAAATAAATTCAAAAAATAAATAAAAATAAATAAAAACATGGAATTAAATGCAAGTGGAAAGAGACTAGATTTTTGGGCTTGCGGGCACCTGTTTGGTTCCTGGTTGAATCCATGATAGGCAGGCAGTTCCCAGGAGCATTTTTAATAAGAGTCTTGCTTACTGCTTGCAACCTCCAATGAGATCACTCTAGTCCCATTTTACGGAGAGTGACAGAAATGACAGAAATGTTACATAACTAGTTATTTGAGCAGCATAGCCCAGCTTTCACTGCCTGCCTGACAGTGTGTCCTGTTACTGACCTCCTGCCCTCAGAAGAGCTGGAGAGAGACTGCAGTCACACCATTCCTGGAAAGAACAGGAGACCTGCCCAGCACATGCCAGTGAATGGTCACTTCCTGCATCCTACTAAAGAAGGAAAGAGGAAGGCGGGTGTGGGAAGGTGCCAACGCACAAAAGTACAGCTTTCTGTGACACCTTCACCAAGGTTTGTTCTTCTTATTGAAGGAAACAACCCCTTACCAGCTAGCAAGGCTCAGGGGAAGTTTTAGCACAAGAGGAAGAAGGAAGGGTGAGGTTCATCTTTGGCAGGTGGCTCCCCCTTTCTGGGCCTGCTCTGCAGCTCTGGTTTCCTGACTTTTCAGATAATAATTTGATCTGTGTGCCCATGACCAAAGATAACAGGCAACAGGAATCTCAGTGTTAACCAATGCAACACCTTACTGTGTTTTTCAGGCAACATAATGTTCCCTGTTGCATGGTAGTTTCCATTAAATGTAAGCAACGTCTTTATTCAAAGGCAGCAAAAGTGACCCTGGTCCAAGTAACTTGTGGATGTTCAGGACCTCTGGCTGTTTACAGGAATGTGATCCCAGATCCCAAAGGGCATGTGGTTCTCTTGTTTACCAAATACTGGAACCATGATTCTCAGCTGCCTCCATTAAACAGTGGAAATTTCACTGACCAAGAGGCAGGGCAAAAGGAGAATAATTTATATGAGCTGAAGAGAAACCAAGGTAGGCTGGGCACAGTGGTTCATACCTACAATCCAGCTACTCAAGAGGACCACAAGTTTGAGGCCAGTGTAGGACATTTAGAAAGATCTTGTATTAAAAAATAAAAAGGGCTGCTGATGTAGCTCAGCGGTAGGGTGGTTGAATGCTTGCCTGATGTGTGAGGCCCTGTGTTCAATCCCCAATACTGAAAGAAAAAAAAATACATAGGGTAGAGATACAGGGATACAAATTTTGGAAAGTTCAAGGACCTATGTTTTTAATAAAAGTCATTGTTCTTGTTTCTTTGTGCCAGGAGACTGATGAAATTTATAATCTGGAGTAAAAAATTCAACAAACTTTGATTTATTCAATGAATGTACTGTTTATAGTCATTTTACATACTGCTTATTTTCATAAATAACAGACTCACTGCATAAATAAGCTGAATAATTAATTGAATGAACAATTGAAGATCTACTGTAGGCGTCTAATGAGAACCTGACTGCATAAAATACAGATTTCAATACACTAAATATAAATGTGCTTGAGATGAGATGGGAAAGAAATATCCATTATATCCACCTTCCAACCTCCTTTAAATGCACATGTGATGCTGGGATAATGAAATGGGATTTGGGATAAATTGACTTAATGGCACCTTCTCTACAGAGAAGGATTTTTAAGTAATGTTAAAATTCAATGACTGTTATTCTTTTGAACAGGTTATTTCTACAGAGATAAGAAAATGAGCTTGAATCTTGGGTTCTTCATTGCCCCCTGGTCCATCATGTTGTGTCCTATGCCTGCAGGCATCAGAGCTGTGTGGGATCACTGCTGTTGTCAGAACCCACGAGGATCAGGCACAGTGGGATCCTCAGATGCTGAACTGCTGGTTCTTAGATTTGTCAGGTTGAAATCACTGAGGTTACAGTGTACTAATTGCTTCAGTTTAACACAGTTTACAGATTGGCTTCTGCTCAAAATCTTTCTAAATCAAAGAAGGAAAACACATCTTGTCTAATAATACCTTCTTTCTGCTAACAGGAATTCATGTTTTGCTCAAAGATGATTTCACAGGAAGACAGGTATTTTCCCCAAAGACATATGCATTTTCCTGGAGTTTTTCCTGGCACAGTTTACAATGGCAGACCACTCTGCTGTGTTTCTGGAAACAAGTCCTACACAATATCCATCCTGTACCTGTCCTGTTATGGTGAATGTCACAATAATGTCATAATAAACTACAAGGTTGCATTTGTTTCTCATTTTTGTTTATCTGCTTAGATTTCACTCTCAGTTGGCTCAAAGCAGCTGCTGCAGAGTCTCTCTGGGCTGCTTTTACTGGACTTTACCTGGCACTGGTGCAGGACACAGGGCTTGGCTGGGCTCTGCCACTCGAAGGAGCTGTTGTAGGTGTTTCCTTCATACATGCAGCCTAGATGTGAAACACAGAGTAAGAAGACAGGCCAGTAACAAACATGGTTTCCTTTACATCTGCAGAAAATGAAGTTATGTCCTCCAAGCCAAGACCAGTGATCACAGGATCCATGGTCGCCACTGGTTGTTCTCCCCAAAACACAGCTAAACTTTTCAAGGATCTATTTGGCATTCACTTGTATGAATTCTTTGTTATTGAATTAATGCAAGTTGCATTAGTTAATGCAACTTGCATTAATACCTCCTTGTATTTTGAATCAATTGCCTTGTTATTGGCATTAATACCTCCTTGCTATCACCTCATGGGCGATATTTTCCAGCAGAAAAACTATAGATTGATGAACTTGTAGGGAGATCCTGGCCAAAAGAGTGTTTGAAATGAATGAGAAAGAGAAAGGGACTTTCTGGACAACAGTTCAGGACTCCTGGAATGAATGAGCTAAGTTTAGACCTGATCTGCAGGACATTAATCAGCAGAAATACAAGGAGGTTACTTTGGGAAAGTGTTTGCTTCGGTCAGTGTGTTTCCACAGCCTCTGGTAGGCTTGCCTAGATTGGATGGGCATATGTCATGTAACAAATCATTCTGCTTCTTCTCTACCCCTTGACAGAAGTATTTTCTTCTATTTCTTTGTTCTTATATCCTTGAGTTATAAATAAACTACTACAGAGGTCTCAGGCTGTTGCTGGGTCCCTGAAGCTCTCCCTCCTGAGCATAAGTAGCCACACTGGGCTTTTCGGATTGAACTAAGCCTTGTCTCCCAGTAAATGCTTCATCTTGTACAGAGCCCAGTCACATATTGTGACAAGTGGTGCCCAGAGTAGAGCACAATCTCGCATAGGAGGCAAAGAAACATGGAGGCAGCACTGTGAGGTATAAAACAGAGAGGCAAAACCTGCAATTACAAATCATCATAGAGGACCAGCCTCCTAAAGTCTGAAAAGGAACAAAGACATCCAATATCTTATTCATCCTGGTAAGGCAACACACATATCCAGTGAATACCCTAGCAAGTCTCCAGTGAGATCAAGGGTAGGTTTAATTCAGTCCAGACGTCTTTTAACTGTCCAGTTGCTAAATGAGTGGGGGCAGTGTTTGTTTACATGCTTTTTCTTTTATCTTTTGCTTTCATACTATCATGGGATCACCTACAGGTCACTTGGCTGTTCAACTGCTTAGTGAGTGGATACAGTTCATTTGTTTCCCAATTTGCTCCTTTAGTATCAATTTTTCTGCTTTGCCTATGATATGGATCATACTTTATCTAAGGAGAAAAAAGGTAAGCAACATTTATAATGTCTCTTAAAAAGACCTGATGGTAAAACAAAGTTTTATAAAAGAATAAAATAAATTAAGAAGAGAAGAAAAGGGAGCTAAAGGCAACAAAATTCAAGCCAATAAAATATGGGACAAACCTATCAGAAAAATGTTTTGTACAAGTTTGTCCATCTGTATGTTTAATCTGTACTGGTAACTGGCTAAAATACCTGTACTTGCTTTGTTTAAGCTCAGCAATTCACTATTACAAGAGTATCAAATTACAGCCATACATTGCTGCCTCTAGAGTCCAATTTGATCTAAACAAGTAAATTCATTTATTTGTTTAGATCAAATAGGCTGGGAAATTCTGTGCCTGGGTATAATGGGTTCTGGCAAAGAGGGAGATGCATCCTATTCTATTTTTGGATGGCCCACTTTAACTGGATACTCTGTCCACCCAGAAGTTATAGAATACCTGAGACTTATTTCAAGAACAGCAAAAACAATGCAAGGAAAAATAAAACACCCACTTGTGATGACCAAATAACCTCATGCATGAGCCAAAGTAATTAGACTATAAATACTGCCTCTTAAATGTATAGGAAAGCTTTTCTCAGAGTACACATAAAACCTCCATTGGAGGAGATTACAAAAAAACTGTCACAAGGACCAACCAAAAATAACAAACAGACATTCTACAACTAAGCAAACAAAGATAAGAAAAAAAACTCCTTCCTGTAACTTTGCCTGAGACAAATGCCATTTGCTAAATTTACAAGAGCCACATTGTTACAAGTCTTAGCTAATTAATGAATTTGGCTTTCAATTTAACTTGTTTTTTGTTTAACTGATACGCCTAAAATATCTTCTGCTTTGTAGATTTTCAGACTATAGTTACAGGGTTAACTGACTATTCTTTCTGCTTTCTATGGGTACTAAGGTAAGTTTTACTATTAGATGTTACTTAAAAGGCTGTTG